TGCTCCCCGGCCCGCGCGCCGACTCCTGCTTCCCGGGCAGCTACGGGGAGGCAGAATCCTCTCGTGCTCATGCAAAGGTGCCGGGGCTCCCGCGAGGCTGCTTTGCGGAGGCGCCGGGCTCCACCGCGGCTGCGATCCTGACACCGAAGCTAACTCGGAGTCCCAGGACGAGTCCGAGCCGCGGTTGGAAGAGCCGGCCCGGCTCTGCAGGGAGGCGGCGGGGTCGACTGCTCACTGTGAAGCTACCTCCATGCGACCCTCCCCTTCCCGCCCCTTCCCCTCCCCCCACCAGCCCGATCTGGGTTCTTGGGCGCTTATTGTTTTAATGAAATTTTTGGTTGTTGTTGTTTTGGTTCTTGAATGTGATTTTAGCAGCGAATAACGTGTCCTCACTCCTCTCGGGCTCCCTCGGAGGGTTTTCAGAGAGGTCTCAGTGCATCCATTTTCTCAGATCCTCTCCTTCTTTCAGGGGAAGGATCTGGGGGCCCTGCAGGCGCCTCGGAGCGCGAAAGCGGCGGCTCGGGTTCTCGGAGGGGTCTGCGCGGTGGCCGAGGGAGCTCCCGGGTGGCGGCGGCGGCGGCGGTTCTCCTGGGCTGGACGCCGTGAGGGGGAGGAAGCGGATTTTCCCAGCAAGATCTCCATGTACAGCTACATCTTTAGGGCTGCTCGGGTTAATATATGTCGTCAGAGGCTCCTCACGCCAATCCCGGGGCGGCAGGGGCGGTGCCTCTCGCTCTCCGCAATAAAACTTTTTGATGTTCTCGTCGCTAATTGTCGAAGTCCTCTTCCAGGATTGGCTGCCCCTTCATAACCATGAGATAATTAAAACGGGGGGGGGCAGGGTTAAAAAAAACTTTTTTTATCAGCCAGAGGTTAATGCAAGTGTTTAGCAGATGCTTTACTATTAAATTATTTTTCCCCCCAAGTCTCAAATCTTGAAGAATCTCAAACCAGGTATAGTATCACTGTTTTCTTTTCTGGTTAAAAAAAAAAAAGAAAAAAAGGTGGAGGGGACGCAGATATCTCTTTTCGAAGTGTTTTTGTAGGTAACCGAGGCAAGAAAATAAGCAGGCAGCCTCGTGCCATTTTTGTGCGGGTGAGGGAGTGGGGGGCGAGAGCCGAGGCAGCGGGCGGCGGGGCCCCCCGGCAAAGGGGCGGCTGGGAGCCGGTCTGGTCTCCTCGCTGAGGCGGGCAGCGGGCGCGGCGGGGGGAAGGCGGCCCCTTTGACTCGGGCACAAGCTGGACGTGCCCCTCTCGATGTCTCTTTACTTACCCGGCACGTTGTCCTGGCCGGGGCCATCTCAGGTGGCTCCTGTTATCGTGGCTGCTTTTGAAGATCGTGGTTGAGACCCCCGGACGAACGGTCAAGCCGAATGTAAATACTCTTATTTCCATATTCTTCAGGGACACCAGCCCCGGAGAGACGACCTTGGGCGATTTCAAAGCGCAGGCACCTCGATTCCCCGAATTTGTGGTGTGGCCGGTATCGGTGTTCCCCTGGTTTAACTAGCCTGTTTGGTAAGTAACTGAATATTTTTTACAGCGTGTTCAGAGCTTATTTTCCAGTTTTTATGAACAAACATATAAATATATCTCTGCATTCCTGCCTCTCCCATAAAAGCGGGCATCTGTGGAAAGCAGGTTTAGTTATCGGAGGGGAACCATTAAACAGCAGTTTAAGAGGCAGACCGGGAGGACGGCTCGTGGATGTTTAGACTGCTGGCCTTAGTGATCTTGAACGCATTATAACGGAAAATGGATCTCTCTTTGTAAGTCACCGGGCCGCAGGGCACAGCCCCCGAGTGGCGTGATCATTTTGAGAAAGCGGGAAGAGAGGCTGGGGCGGGGGATGGACAGCGGGGAGCTGGAATCTCCCGGGGGCTCGGTTGGGAGTTGCGAAGGGAGACTGACGTGTAGATGAGGATTCGGTCTGATGGAGTTTGGTGTGGAAAAGGGTGTCAGCCAGGACCTCAGCGGCTGTAAATTAGCGGAAGCCTAGGGCAGAGTGTACAGAAGACCGCACGGGGCCGTGGCGGCCTGGGACTCATCTCTGGGCCTGGCTGGGGTCACCCAGAGGATACCCTTGCCTCCACCTTGGGTATTGTCCTTTGGAAGCAGGCAGAGTCAGGCCCCAGGCCTCCAAGGGAGCCCTACCCCAAGGACTCGGTGAGGACAGTCTTTTTTTTCCCTCAGCCCGCTGGGCGCTTTCTGAGGGGTATGTGGTTGGGGTCGGAAGGCAAGGTCAGTGCGAATGGAGGGAGGGGTGGTGGGGGCTCCCAGGGCCTCTGCTGCAGGGAATTCAGGGCCAGCTCCACCGGCCACTACAGCCCTGGGCAGTAGCAGTGAGAAATATTTTTTAGGTTTGCGGTGGCTGGGCGATAGGAGAGGGGAAGGAACTGAGAGAGGGGCATGGGCTCGCAAACCCAATGCGGGAGTCCATTCAGGGCACATTCTGTCCCCTGGGCAAGGGGTCATTTTCCTTGGATGCCTGCAGCATAGCATCTTAAGGCAGAGAACAGGGTGTAAGGAGAAGCTGAAGTTGGATTTGTTGGTAACGTGCCACTTGGGCATGGAACAAAATAGCGACCTAGAGCTTTCAACCCCCAACTTGGATGGATCTGCGATTTTAGTGCGAGTGGAATGTTTTAAAGCCCTCGCTCTTCAAGGAAAGAATATAGCTAGTGTGGTGGGGTTCTGTTTACATTTTCACCAGGGAGGCAAACCTTGAATGTGTAAATACTGGTAGTTCAATCCTCTGACATTTGATACTTAAAAAGAAAAAAAAAAGTTTGTTTATAAGAACACATCTAGGCCTTGGAAGCAGGTAGACAAAGTTAAAATGGTTGCACCCCGTCTGGGAACAGATAACAATCCAGGGGAAGTAGTTGGTAGGCTGCTTTCAGACCCAGAGGGAGTTTTGGGAATTGAAAGGAAGAAGAGGCCAGGCGGAAGGCTGAGTTGGGGACTGGGATGCTGTGTCCACCAGAGGCGAGTGGCCTCAGTGTCAAAGCCATCAGAATTTGCCACTTTCAGCCTTTCTCATGCTCTTTTAATTGAAACCAAAAATGGGCAAATCTCTTCATGGTTCCAGATATCATGGCAAGTGATAAAAGAGATGGAGAACAGAAAAAAACTCATAAAAGATGCTAATTTGAACATCAGTCCTCACTGACAGTGTCATTATCAGTTAATTAAGGCTGTGCAAGGTCTAGGGCTTCATGGAGCTCAGAAAGCCAAGCCCCGAGACTACAGCCTTAGAAAGGCAGCTTGGAGGCAGGGGACAAATGGATGAACTCTAGTGTCCTTAGCTGTAGTTCTTGACTTGCAGAGGCCAGACTGGCTGAGTGCCACTCTGAATGCACAACCAAAGGAGTCCCCTTTTTTCTCTCAGTGTCCCCTTTTGTACATTTTGCTGCAGGTCCAGTGGGATGCTGGGCTAGTCTCTGCTTTGGAAGGCTGTGAGGCAGATGTCATATCCGGTTTGCCCCCAATTTAGATGGCTTGTACCTTCTGGGGGGTGGGGTGGGGTGGATAGTGATGGAAGGGAAATGCGGGCATGAATTTACCAGCTTTGATGTAGCCCAGGGACTGTGCTAGTGTGGACTCTGGTGCGCTGCCCCCTTAAGGGCATGTGTTCTGAGTACTTCAAGGGCCCAAGCATCTGAGATGATGCAGGCTGCAGGCCACCCTGGGTACCCGCAGGAGGAATCCTGGTGAGGGCATACTAACTCGCTTCTCCTTTTCCGAAGCCAGGGGCAACCAATCTTACCCAGGTGGGCAGCCCCGCGTTGGAGAAATGCTGTGATTCTATGTCCGGTCTTCACTGTAGTTGATGGTAATATACCCACGTACAGCGCATGACCTCTGCCTCCAGCTGAACAGACCGAACCGGGTTCAACAATTTATTTTGCACCCATGTCTCTTGGCTCTTTCCCTTCACTCCCACCCCTTACCCTGGAAAAGACTCAAAAGAGCATGGGAGAGGCTAAGCACTCCCTTACAAACATTTTGGTCTTGTGAGATATTCCTTTTAAAATCAATCTGGTTTAAACTAAATATTTTTTTAAAAAACTTCAGTCTGTTTTTAGGGAAAATACAGATCTTTTTGAGGTATTTATTATTACAAAGGCAAGGGCAGTTTGTATCTCGTGTTTTGCTCATGAGAACTCAAAATAAACTGGACCTGAAAAGAACCAGGCCGGAGGGCCATAAACACACATTTTATGTTTACGGGAATTATGGCTCAATTCCCTTCATCGTTTTTCAAGTCTCGTTTTACCTTATTTTCCTAACCAACATAGTAGAAGTGACTGAGTATTCCCTTACATATCTATAATGCTCTTACATAAGGTGAACTCCAGAATGTTTGCTAAGAACTCCCGAAAGAACACCAAACCCAGAAGGTGGCAGAAAAAGCAATGTGTTCCTGAAGATGTAACCGCAGCCCCACCTGCTCCAAGGATGGTGCTTCTTATGACGCCTTGATGGCTTTGCATTTTGTTTGGCCTGGGGTGGGATTGAGTCATTTTATATGCTAGCCACTTGCTCCCAGAACCTTTAGGACATATAGAACAAGGCGCATTGAGTGGTGGCGAGGATCTCCTTCCCACTCGGGTTCTGTAGTCCCTCCCTTTCTGGTTTGCCTTTTGGGAAACAGTTGTCTATAGACAAGACAAGTGACAGTGGTTCCAGAAATGTGGTGATGCTCAAAGCACACACACTTCTACAAAGCCGACTCCGGTTTGATTGAACTCTTACGTCTGTTTCAAAAATGAAGGACAGGCAAAGTTGTCTTTGGCTCTTATGAGGTTTTATTTATTCTGAGCATTTTCCGTTTGCATTTCGGGGTGGGGGTGGGGTATTTGGTGAGTGATCCCTCTTCCCTCCTCTTTCCCATCCAGAGCAGATCTGTGGAGATGGGGGCGGGGAGGAGCTGATTGCTTATGACTCCGTCAGTCCAGGTTTTTTTTTTTTTCCTTTTTTTTTCAGTCCAGTTTTGATTAGGAAACATTTAAGTCTGGGAGAAAATTGGGACTTGCTTGATGCCTCCCTCCCCACCCCATTTAGCCTTTTTTTCCCCTTCCTTCTCTCCCTGCCCTTACCTCTTTCCCTCTCTCCCTCCCTTCCTCCCTTCTAATTTGCCTTTGAGCAATGCTTGGATTTCTGAGGTTTCTGATGTCACTGAACCTGAAACTGGTGAAGAATCAGATACTAGTTTATCTTTTAGTCCTTTAAGAAAAATATATTTTAAAAAAATTGATATATAATTGACATATCACATTGCGCAAGTTTAAGATGTACAGTGTCTAAGAAAAATCTTAATATCCAGTACTACAAGCAGTGGGAATTTGCATTTTCTTCAAATAATCAATAAGTGGATCTTCATACTAGCTGGCAGATGTGTTGCTGCTCTGGAGGGTTTTCATTGATAGGGGAGGACTAGATACTTTGCCAGGTATCCAAGCCAGTCTGTAAAGCTAAAACACTTATTCAGACTAAAGGGAACAAAAGATAATGTACGTGAAAGGACCACCCTAGAGGCAGCAGGATATGTACATGGGAGGTGGTTGTTATACTGGTCCTTAGAAGTAAGGTAGATCTGATCATTGCTACTTTCTAATAAAATATAGATAGAGCTTACAGCAAAAGTGGCATGAAAAAATACATCCCACAGGATTTCTTTAACTACTTTGTTTCAAGCAAATTACGTACATACTGGCAACATTTTCTTCCAAGCCAGAAAGAAAGCATTTAGCATTCAGGTGAGGAAATAATTGTAATTTTGCATACAGGATCCATGGAAAAATAAGTAGTAGTTAACTTTGACTAGTCTGTAATACAGTCTGGGGTTCAGAATAAAATACAAAAGCAAATGGCAACTTAAAATGTGAAACTTTGGATAAGCCATTCAAGTGACTGAAGGTTTTGTTTGTGACTTGAGGCCTCTCTGAATTCCCAGTTCTAACTGCCGGGTTGCTCACATTCCTAGGAAGTTCTGTTCTGAAGCCTCCTTTGCAAATTCGTGTAGACTTTTTTTTTTTTTTTTTTTTTTTTTAAGCCCTGGCAGTTTCTTCCAGACCTTTTCTACTTTATTCTAGGGCCTTTGCTTCTAGACAAGGGACTTGAGCCAGGATGGTTAGGTTTCAGGTTAACAAAAAGAAACCCTTTTATTGTCAATATTAATGGCAAACCTCGATTTTTACAAGGCTTAGGTTTAGCAGCCTGAGCAGATCAAAAGCAGCTTGGTTTGATTTCTCAATATTCTCTGGAGCTTAGACAATTAACTGCAATTTTGCTTCTAACAAAACAACACAAAAATGTTAGTTACAGAAATGTTAAATTTAGTCTTTCATTAAGACTAAATTTCATTAAGAGTTTTACCTGTGTGCAGCATGTCAGAATCTAATAAATTTGTCCACTGAACCTGATTTGAGTTTTGGTGGAAACCTCCTTAAGAAAATGCGTGAGCAGAGTGGCTTCATTTACAATGCCACGAGCCTGTTTCAGTGTGTGCATTCCACCCTTGCCTTTCTGGCTGGGTAAGGATCCGGCAGACTGAGGTCCCCCCTGGTAATTTGGGTACACCGAGTCTCCAGTTAATGATAGATAATCAGCCTTTGGGTCATTCGGTCATTCTCTTATTACAAACCCCTCCTGCTCTCTCTGATCTCCTTTCAAACTAAATTTCACACAAACAAATAAAGCAAGACAGGGACAAGTTCTTTAAAAAAAAGAGGGAGAAATATTAGAAACTCCTGATACAGAACTCTAAACAAGGAAAGGCAAGCTAAAAGAGGATAGGAAAGAACATCTTATCAAAATGAACATGTTGTGTACAAAACATTAGAAGAAAAGGCTCTGGTTTCTGTTAAAGTGACAGAAAATTAAAATAAAAATAATTGCAGGCAGAGAAGTTATAATATAAACAGAGAAGGCAGGATGCTTGCTGGAAATGCGCAGCACTAGGAGGCTAATTTGTTGTTACAGATTATATATCTGCACCATGATAGGAGAGTCGCTACTTTGTTCTATTTTCCAGGAAAGAATGGCTTTCTTTTTAGTACTTGTATTAGTGCCCACTTAAATTAATACAGGCCAAAACCTCTAGGAACAAAAAATGGAATTGCATTCTGCTTGCGAAGCATCCAACTTCAAAAGAAGGAATTGGTTGCATACAAAAGAAAAAAAAAAAAGGCAGAATTCCATTCAGAACACATTTAGAGCGTTCACTAAATCGGTATGACTGATGCTTTTTTGCTTTGCTGACAGAAGTTGCAGATCATTCTCGGGGAAGTACAACTGAAACCAGTCCTCCCCTGCCCTCTGGGGGTCTTCCTTTTCCCAGCCTACATCTGCTCCTGACTCCAGAAAGACAGACTTCAGATTGGCCAAGGTACATCTCTGACCAGATCCCTCTAAGAAAAACTCAGGAATTGTTCAGAACTCTGTTGAGAGCATCCCCAGTGCCATTTTCCTGCCCTGTCTTTGACAATCCCTTTTGGCCCAAGTCCAGGACTCCAGAGGGGTCAAGGTCTAGCTGCTGGTGTATCCCAAGCCCTGGGTTTTCAATCCTAAGAGAGATTGGAACTTTGGCTCAGGGCTTGATCAACTCGCAGTTCTCCAAGTTAGAGGGGCAGCCGGGAGATGGCAGCAGGTGGTGAAAGTGTGACTCCCAGATTGTCCCCAACCATCTGTCTGGCATGCCTTGATTTGGCAGCATAGCTGGCAAACAATCCATCTCTCTCTCTTTTTAAAGAATCCACACTTCTTTGTTTCTTCTAGGCCCAGTTTAAATGCCGCCTCCTCCAGGAAGCCTTTCCAGGTATTGCTTTCCTTCTCTCTGCTCCCCCAAATCAAGTCCCCTTTCTGGCGCACCCCCTCATATTCTCTCTGATAGACCGCTGGGCACATACCTTTAACCTCTGGTGACTGTGGGTTCCTTGAGCCCCTAATCCACATACCCAGTAGGGGATTAAACAGCTTGTGTAAAAGGGATGTCTTAGAGAAAACGGGTGAATTCCGCATACCCCAATTGCAACTGGATTGGTTTTATTTTGAAAGTGACTAGAGCTAGTAGAGGAGGTGGACGGCTCATTAGGGAACAGACCTTCATCTCCAAGCCCTCGGGAGAACCAGGGAACGCCTCCTCGGGATGGATCCGGCTGGCAATGGGTCTGTGTCAACCGGCCTTGGCTCAGAGAGTGGAAAACTCAGCCCCGGCCTGGCCTCCTCAGGTGGCCCCTCTCGACAACCTGAGCTCCGGAGTCAGAGCTGGGCAGGCCGGACTCTCGGGCACCCAAATACTGGCTGCCTGATCTCGGACAAGATCGTCCATCTCCCTAAACCTTAGTTTCTTCATCTGAATAGTGGGTTAATGACACCCACTATTCAGATGAAGAAACTAAGGTTTAGGGAGACACCGACCTCGAGGGTGTGTAGGGGAGATTAAATGAGATCAAGATGCACGCGAGAGCAAGACGCCTGACACACAGGCTGCGCTCAATAAATAAGTATTTTCTCTTCCTGCCTCTTCGGTTTCTTCCCCTCCCTTACAGCCTCCTGGAGACCCAGCCCGAAGGTGATGGGCCGGGTGGCGACGGAGGGCACCACTTGCCTCAGTGACCCGAGCCAAGCGCAACCGCGGCTCCGCGGGGATCGCAAGGGCCTCAGGCCTCGCAGGACCCTGGGCATGGGAGAGTGAGATGCGGGCCTGTGGCGGCCGCCCAGGAAGGTTGGGGGGCAAGGGGCGCGGCCAGAGCCGCCACCCTGGATTTTGGCCGCCGGCCCTCCGGCCGCTGCGTTGGCTGCTGGGCCGCCTCCTCCACCCTGGTTAAGTTATCCTTTTGATCCCCATTCCCCCCCTCTCGGTGCCCGCCACCAAGGAGGCCGGTTTCCCGCAGCTCAGGCCCCGGGGAAGTCATCGCTCCGGGGCGGGTTGGACCCCCAGCATCCCCGGCTGGTCTCCGACGGCTTTTCGCCCGAGGCGGGCAGGAAGGGGTTAACCGCGCCCTTCTCCTCCGCGCCAACCCAATCCCGAGCCCTCGGCAGCGGGCGAAGGCCGCCGCTTCCCTCCTGAGGTCTCATTAGGGAAACCCTCACCGCTATTTTCAACATTTCCTCAATCAAGTGCCTTTAAATAGAGCTGCACAAACAAATTGGCGGCAAAAGCGTAGATCTTGTCACGATTGAGACCAATCCAATATTTCAGCCTTGTTTGCTTTGCAATTACGGGTTGCCTTGCGGCTGCGGTGCCACCGGGGCAAATCTGCAGCCGCCCGCTTTCTCCTCTGCACCCTCGGCGGGTGGAGGAAGCGACCCGCAGAGCCCCCGGAGGGAGGAAGCGGGGTGGCGCTGGAGGAGGTGACGCGAGGGAGAGGCGGGCGGCGGAGCCCTTCCTAAACCCGCGTGCAAAGGGCGCGAGCAATGGTAAAGGAGACGGATTTCTCAGGTTCCCGGCCGAGCCACTGAGATATGTGCAGTAATAATAAAATGTGCAGTGCACATGCCGACAACGATGTTGTGTCCTTATCCAGCTCCTTTTCTCCTCCCTTCCCTTTCCTCCCACTTCTATCTCCATTACATTTTTCTTCAGTATTTGTTAGCGGGTACTGGTTTCCCCTTCTTTCTCGCTGTTAAACTGCTAGCATGATTTGTTATGTTTTCCATAGCTGCTGCTTCTTGTTTGACTTTTTGTACAAAGTCGCTTTAAATCGGCCGCAGGAAGACTAAAGCTCCAAGCCCTTTGGATGGGCTCCTGCAGGCGTGTGCAGGGCCCCCTGCCCTCCCTGCCTTCTTGCGGGATGGCTCTTCTGTGTACGTCGGCCGCTGGGTGCGTTCGGTCACCGCGCAGGCCAGCCTAGTTTGTTTCAGCGGAATAGTAGTTAACTCAGATCAGGTCCTAAGCCTTGTATTTCACAGACAATTAAATCTCGGCTGCTGTTTAACAAAATTGTAATATTTACTCTGCTCTGTACTGCGGAGCACTTTTAAAGTCAAAAACAAATACATTTCACAAAGAAAATATGATAATAAATCTCTTTTTATGGATTTTCTCTGCATAAGTGGAAACAACGTGATTTAAATCCCCACGCCCTGGCCCCCCTTCTGAGGCACAGCTGAGGTTATACAGATACTGTCTTTTAACTCACATTCTTCACCGTCTGGGGGCAGGCACCTGCATTTGTTACATTCAGTTTAGTTTCTAAGATTCCACACAACCCGCATTGGCAAAAGCAGCAAGTATTTTGGAATAATTAGGTCTGGGATGTGAATGCTATTTTCACCATGATTCAAGAAAGGTGGACATGACTTGGGTCATTATTTTATGATTTCATATTACCTTATAAATGTCTACCCATTTTCCTCTCATGTTGACTTCTGAAGGAGGTGGGAAAGTTGAGGCAGAGAAATATTTTTATGAGACTCTGGGGATACATATTAAAATATACTTCTTTATTTTTTAAAAATGTGTAAGGTGTGGATGGACTTAACATTTGTTTGCTGGTGGTCATAAAATAAATTCATAGGTGTTCTAGTCAATTAGCAATCTCTTTTAAGATTTACATTTTTTTTTGTTTATAATCCCACCTGGATTGTAGCTTCATTCTTCTGGATCTCACTCCTATTGTAAAATTTTGGTTTTCAATTTTATTTAAAGCACACCTCAGAAATAATGGTTTCATAAAATTGTGCAATGTCAAAACCACAGAATAATATTTCAAGTTCATATGTCATGCACACTCATGTATATCTCTCAAGAAATAGGAAGCAGTAGCAAGAAAGGGTACCATTTCATGAGAATTTTCTCTTCACCAAAAAAATTGGCCTGGCATATTATTCAATAAACAAATTATAATATTACTTTCATGTGTGTTAATCTGTTTAGTATTAAAACTGCTAGTGTCTTAATCATTAACATGTTTTACCACACTGCTTTCAAATGGGTGATCTCAGATAATTATGAAGATTTTGATGTTAATCCCATGTTAAGTGAACAACTATGAAAATAACCTTAAAGCATTATTATTCTTCTATAAACACCAACAAACACAGTTGTAGAGGGAACATGATTACTTTTTATCTGGCATTATCCTATAAGGATATGGCTACATTCATTTCTCTTAAAATCAGAGCAGTTTTCAGTTACTTTTAAACAGAATTTTTTTTCAACACAGCATTTTGCAGTATCTATAAACCACAACAACTTTGTACTGACAGATACATATTTTTTCAACATTGTCATTCATTAGCTTCCTTGCAAACTCACTAAAATAGAATAATATACAAAATATCAAAATATAGAGTACAATTAGTAGGTCCTACATATTTATTTAGGTAAGCCAATGTTATTAAAATTAAAAACATGTGCCTGGCATAGAAATGTTTCTTTAAGGAATTCTTTTTTGGATGCACAGTTATTATTTTTTAAACCAACTCAGATTTTCAAGTACTGATTTTTCACTCTAAACAGGCATTGCATTGTTTTAAACAGTAGCTCCTGGAACAATACCACTCTTAGTATTTTAGCCTTCCAAACAACAATTGGAATTGGATAAATGCTTTCAGCTGGGAGCACTTTCTTAATACCTTTGTAGGTAATAGGATTCCCCATTTGTACGGGGTGACAAATGGACAGTGCAGTGGACAGACTGCTTACCCTTTACAGAATCTACCAGAAAATGGAGTTTTTCTATGAGATTGTTTGTGGTCCATCTAGAAGAAATTCTGTTCAAATGTGAAATCAGGGAAAATGGGCAAACGCTTTTTCTAACTACAGTTATGAAGTGATGACTGGAAGAGGGGGATGAAAAATATAAGACAGAAGGAATGCAGAAACATAAAATCTGAAAAAGACAATTTCCTTAGGCAGGATCTGGCTCTTTGTCTATAAACAGGAGAGTGATGAATTGGATCCATATAATCAAAGAGATTGTTTTTGTTTTCTTTAATTCAGTGATTTTTAAAAATAGATTTTTCACTGGATGAAGAAGCCCAAATAAAAAATATATGTAAATTCTTGTATATGGGAAAATGCTAGCTTCCATGATTTTTAAATATTGGTTTAAAATATAAGGACCTTTAATCCATTATACCATTGTTCTTTCTAAATGAATACATGTCAAAAAAGAACCTTGTGATAAATGAATACATGTCAAAAAGCAACGAATTTTTTCAAACTGGTGAAATATATCCATGAGATAATTTGCATAATCTCCAACTTGCTGAGAAAAAATTTAAGAAACAACTTTTTTTCAGGAATAAACCAGGGAACTTTGTTATTATTCTGGGATAAATAAAGCAAGAAACTGCCTCCTTACATTCCTAGTAATTCTTTTGGTTTTTCCCAACATCGTTAAGCTCCATGCATCTTTTGCTTTTCGAGTAAAGATGATGTCAGCAATAAAATTACAGAATCTAATCAAGTGACTATTTTTGCTTTATTGCAAATATAGATTATATATGGGCTGTTGAAGTGTTTAGCTGTTTGAATGCTGAATTTTTCTTTTTTCAGATAGACTGATATTTAATGAAGTGTTTATGAAGATAAATATGATGGCTCATCAAAGGTAAAACAGCCATGGTAACAAAGCAGTATTTGAGTCCGTGAGGTGTGGGCTGCACTTTGTAAATTATAGTGCTTTTAAATCATGACCTAGGTATTTGCAATGAGGATATCTGGGAAGAGAACCTCAAGGGTCCTTAACATACACGAGCAAGAGCACATAATCCTGTAGAGGAACTTGCCCTCAGAAGGATATTGCCATTCCTACCCCACAACGCCAGCCCCACCCCTGCCATATTTCTACTTGCTATATTTTACTAAAAGTCCCAGAGGGACACCTGGGTGGCTCAGTCGGTTAAGCATCTGCCTTTGGCTCAGGTCATGATCCCAGGGTCCTGAGATCCAGCCCCTCCTCAAGCTCCCTGCTCAGAGGGGAGTCTGCTTCTCCCTCTCCCTCTCCACTGCTCGTGCTCTCTCTGGCTTGCTCATGCTCTCGCTCTCAAATAAATAAATAAAATCTTTAAAAAAAAAAAGTCACGGAATTAAGAGTGCCTGCAACCCAATGGGCTTTTCTCTCCTTAAATACTTTACTGTCAAATGGTATTAATATAGCTACGTAATTATTGAAAGGTTCACTCAACTGTTCCTGTGTTTTGTTCTCATCGTTAGCTATCTGAATATGAGGAAACAACTGGATCATGCACTGAATTTTTCTCATTGCCTTGAATGCTAGTTTTAGCTTGCAGTCTCAGATACATTTGAGTAAATCGTAAGCCATGTACATTTTATTGTGTTATTGTTTATGCCCTGCTTCATGTCAGAAAGGCTCTAAGACTGTTTTTTTCCCACAATTGGTAAGATACATTTTTAAAAACCTATCAAAATAATCCCTGTAAATCTGATTATAATTGATTTTGACGCTTATTGCAAGATCAGTGATGTCTTCTGGCAAATATTTGATCCCAAGATGAAGCAAAGTCACACTTGAAATGAGACAAATTTTTGAAAATTAATTTTGAGAATGTTATATTATTAAGAAATCATCGTCATAATACATGGAAATAAAGCTATGAATACTATGCATGTAAAATGGCATAACCTTGTGACTGAGAGCAAGTCTCTGGACTGAGAGGCACAGTTCTGAATCCTGACTACAACACATAGCAACATGTGATCTTGGCAAAATGGCTCTTCTTTGCTTCAGTGACCATGGCCACAGAAGGTGGATAATAAGTGTAGACTCTTACAGTGTCGTGATGAGCATTTTTTGAGATGATTCCCACAAGGCTTTTGGTTGAGGGCCTGGCATAGAGTAAATGCTTACTAAACAGTAGCTCTTCTCTTCAGCACAGCTCCACAGCATTAAAAGGTGGCATGCCACAGTCACCTTCCTGAGAACCACTAAGTGTGGAGATGTTGACAGCCCACAGATTTCATGGAGACTCGTGTGAGAAGCCTACACTGGCTTCCAGACCTCAGTGTTGACAGCGAAAAGGCAATGGCTTCTGTCTGTCTTTAGAGGCTCCAGAAAGGAATGGGGAGATGGACCTAGTGATAGCAACCTGCCAGATTGGCAGCGCAAATCTAGTTTCATGCCATCTAGCCCATGTGTAGTGTGGTCTGTTGGTGCCTGACACAACGGTCTAAACGGAGGAAAACGGCGCATTAAAGAAATGAAATATGCTAGGGCAATGGTCCCTCCCATTGTTTTAATTGTGCACTCTAACAGTAAGACATTTTAGGTATAGATCTATTTGCAAATTATAAATCTGCACTACTTTACTGATATATACATTATAAATCCATGTAAAAAATGAACTAAAAGAGGGCAATGTTTAAGAAGACTTAAACAACAGGTGTAAATATTTTCAGGCGAGATAAATTCAGTTATCAGCAGTGGATGCAAATCCACCTTTTAAATGGTCTTGGTCATTTAAAAATGCTTTTTCAGGGCACCTTGGGTGGCTCAGTTGTTAAGCAACTGCCTTCGGCTCAGGTCATGATCCCAGGATTCTGGGATCGAGCCCCACATCGGGCTCCCTGCTCCGCGGGGGGCCTGCTTCTCCCTCTCCCGCTCCCCCTGCTTGTGTTGCCTCACTCGCTGTGTCTCTCTCTGTTAAATAAATAAAATTTTAAAAATAAATGAATAAAAATGCTTTTTCATTAGCTTACTGTCTGATCTGTCTTCTCAACATTTCTGCCTTGTTGTGTGGCTGACTAAAGCTCTTCAGTAGGAGGGAGAGTGTCAGTTCTGCCATTTTCTTGATGGTTTATGCCCGTATTTGAATGATCTTTAATCTAAGTTTGTTTTAGGGCTTTTTGTAAAGCCCCCTGTCCATTTGGTGAAGGTTAGTTTAGCTAAAACTGGATTACATCATCTGCTTCCACCTACCTGAGCCAGATAAACCATCACACATCTCAGTCCATGTGAGTTCAAGCGGGGGCCACTGTCAACCCCTCCGCCGCTGAGATCTGCTCCTTCCCTAAGGATACCATGTGTGCCTCGGGCAACTTGACTAGGACCAAGCCAGGGTGTTGGTGAACTCATTTCTGATTATTTACATAAAAACAAATATAAAGAGAATTTCTGGGGCACCTGGGTGGCTCAGTTGGTTAAGCACCTGCCTGGGCTGGGGTCTTGGTCTTGGGATCCTGGGATCGAGCCCCTGCTCAGCAGGGAGCCTGCTTCTACCTCTCCCTCTGCCCCTCCCCCCTGCTCTTGCTCTCTCTTTCTCTAGCTCTATCTCAAATAAATAAATGCTTTAAAAAAAGAGAGTTTCTAATGTGGTCTTCTTGCTCCCCATTCTTTGGGGCACCACTGTCTCTGACTCAGACATAATTATGGTTCCTGGCATTTCTCTTCCTTAAGGTTCTACAGCAGAATGAATGAGACCCTTAGGTGCACTGGACTTTGTTTTTTATAATTTGCCTTACTCTGTTTGTGTAGCTCTTCACTGTTTGCGAATCACTTTCACATATTTCTTCACTTGAATTTAGCATCTTTTTAGGGGTGGTAAAGCAGTCTGATTCTGTCCATTCTAAAGATGGAAGAGATGAACCATCGGTGGCATTGACTGGAGAGGTGAAATAATTGCCCAAGTTCACACAGTTGGTAGGAGGCAGAGCTGTGTTTGAACTTGTTTTCTGAAAGCAATATCACGCTGTTTCTTATACATCATTTTTTAAAAAAGATTTTATTCATTTATTTGAGAAAGAGAGTGAGAGAGAGCATGAGCAGGGAGAGGAGCAAAGGGAGAGGGAGAAGCAGACTCCCTGCTCAGCAGGGAGCCCAACGCGGGACTCGATCCCAGGACCCTGAGATGGTGACCTGAGCTAAAGGCAGACACTTAACGGACTAAGCCACCCAGGTCCCCATTGTTCCATCATCTTAACCGACTTTAGACTGTATTTATATTTGTCTGAACTGAGGGGAGAGGGAGCTATACAACTCAACAGAAGCAATGGTTCTAGGTGGTGCTGGGAAAGGATTAAGAAGAAGCATGCCTATTGGGACACACGAGGATCAAATGGAATAATGCGGAGGAAAGGAATTAGCATTTATTGAACACTTATTTTACCCTGTGCTCTTTACACACACTATTCCTTTAATATACTTCTTAAAAGGGGTAGGTTTTTACATATAAGGAAATCAAAGTTCAGAGGTGTTAAAGTAATTTGTCTCAAGTGCACAGCTTTTAAGTTGTGGTGTTGAAACCAAAGAGAGCTGACATTAAAAATATATACATTTTCAGTACCCAGGTAATGTTAAAAGAACAAAATATGTTAAATTTGAAAGTCTTGTGAGCACTTTTTGTCCCAAATTGGATCTGTGGCTGTGGGTAAAAATCAACCACAACAACACCAAATGCTAGCAAGGATGCAGAGAAACTGGATCATTAAGACACTGCTGGTGGGAATGTAAAATGGTACAGCCTGTCTGGGAGACAGTTCGGCAGTTTCTTACAAAGTAAACGTGTAACTACCATATGATTCAGCAATTGCACTCCTGAGCATTTATCTCAGATAAATGATGACCTAGGTTTGCATGGAAACCTGTACATGAATGCTTAAGGCAGCTTATTCACGATAGCCCTGAACCGAAAACAACTCACAGATCCTTCAGTGGATAGACAAACTGTTAACCATTCTGTTGACAGGTAAGCATGTATTGCTGATCATGGTATATCCATACCATAGAATATATTCGGCAATAAAAAAATGAATAAATTATCAATAAGCTCAAGAATCTGAATGAATCTCCAGAGAATTACACCAGGGGAAAAATACTAACCAGGACAAGTTATAGACTGTATGTTTCCATTTATGTAACATTCTTGAAAGGACAAAATTATAGAAGTGGAGAAGAGATTAGTGGTTACTAGAAGTTAAGGAGCAGTGGAAGGGAAGTGAGCGCAGCTATAGAAGGACAGCAAAAGGGATCCTTGTGGTTATGGAAATGTTCTGTATCTTAACTGTATTAATGTCCATATCCTGGTTGTGATGTTTTACTATAATTTTGCAGGATGTTACTACAGGAAGAAACTGGGTAAAGGGTGCAAGGGATCTCTATAATTAGTTACAAATGCATGAGAATCTATAATTACCTCAAAATAAGAAGCTTAATAAAAAAGTTGATTGACCTTTATTGACTTCCAGAACTTACCTGAAAATAGAGTAATGTTGGGAATGAGAATAGAAGTTGTGAACTTTATAAGAATTATTTTCAACGCACCACGGAAACTGGGTCTGAATTTTTTCCTTCTGATTTTTATTATGGATTATAATGCATTCTTACTGCTGTTCTGGGGAAGAAAAAAAATGCCACCTCTTCATCATAGGACTTTTATTTTGCAAACTATAGTGATTTTTTAGTTCATTAGGTGACTGATTCACACATTAGAAGATGAAACTAGACTGGTGCCTGGTTGGCTCAGTTGAAAGAGTATGTGACACTTGATCTTGGGGTTGTGAGTTCGAGCCACATGTTGGGTGTAGAGATTACTAAAAAAAAATAAACTTAAAAAAAAGAAGATAAAACTAGATTGCATTGGGTCTGATTTTTTT